GGGATGTGTTTTGAGGTCCTAAGAAGGAGAGGGTCATCCCCATTCCTTGTTGTCTTCAATACTTGTCATATTTGCCTCATGTGTGAGCACCTTGTTTAAGTTCATGTTGGCCATGTCTTAGTTGATATTTGGTGTTATTTTGCCATGATTTACCTCTGTCCAAAGTTGGTTTAGACGTGCCATACATGCTATGTATACTTGTCATGTAATCCCTCGATTTTGCCTTAATATGCACCTAGCATTTAGACCACTATGCTTACTTGTTTTGGCCTAACTCCATGAAGCTTTTGGCCTTCTCTTGCCATGCTAAAGGTCTGATTTTGGTTGTTTGGGTCATCCATGCCTTGCTTTGTATAGCTACCATGCAACTTAGCTTGTATGCTTTGAGTGTTGGCCCCTCTACCATGCTCTATTTGCATCATTTCAGTGGTTTGGCACCATTAGTTATGATATTTCAGTCCTTATTTCATGCTCACATGCTCGCATCTTATCACTTCTTTAATGCTTTAAAGAGTTAGGGTTGTATGCCTCATGGATGTGTCATTGTGTATGCCATCATGTCTAGGCATTTGGGGTGCCATCTAAGTGAATTTTTGGGCTCATTTTAGCATGTCATATCTCTGATTTTGGTCGCCTAAATCATGCCATGTTTGGTTGTCTTAGGTGTAATGTAACACCTCTTTGGTGGCCTTGTATGCCTCATGCTTTGCCCCTTTTGTTTTAGCTTGTTTTAGTTTTGGCCATTGCATGTTTTAGGCTTACTTTGGCCTTGTATGCCTCATGCCTTGCCCCTTTTGTTTTAGCTTGTTTTAGTTTTGGCCATTGCATGTTTTAGGCTTACTTTGGCATGATTTGGAACTGATTTGGTCGACTTTGGTCATTTGCTTCATGTGTCACATGATCATGGTTTGAGCCTTTGGGCTAGTTTCAAGCTTTTTGTGCATGACTTGTTTGCATTATTAAGTTGATTTGGCATCATCCTTTGCATGTTTTCAGAGCATTAAAATGCTTGCAATATGTCCATGTTTGTCCCTTTTAAGTGTCCTTAAAAGTTGCCCTTTCATGCTTAAGTGTTGGACCATTATACATACATGTTTGTATGTGACTTTGTCCCTTATCCCTTAGCATATTGGCCGCTGATTTGGGCCTATTTGAGAGCTGCCCATATTGGTTTAAGACCATCCTTTACATGTTGTTGCATGCTTGCCTTGTATGTTGTTGCATACTTGGCCCATTGCATATAGTTATATGCTTAAGTTGTATTTTACATGCTTGTTAGCTTGCATTTTGTCATGAATTTAAAATGTTGTTACATGCTTGAATGTTTGCATGCTTGTTCACATGCTCATGTTGCATTAGTTTGCTTGCATGTCTAGGTTGCATAGCATTGTGCATGTTTGCATCCCTTGCCTCTTGATCAATTACGGTAGAGGTTAGGATCATTGTGTGTTTGTGTGCATTTCATTTGATATCAAATTGCACACCTGGTACCTTGGGCCATCATGCATTGAAATGCGTGATTGATGGCCCGAGGGTCGAGAACCATGCTCCTCTAAGTCTCAAACATGCTGAGGAGGGTGGTGGTGCATAAATTGCTTTGAAAATGCATTGCCATGTCTTGTTTGTCCTCTGTTGCAGCAAACCAGTCTTCTGCATGAAGAAATGGTCGGTCGACAACTTTCAGTGCTGGCCGACTATAAATACCCAGCCGGTGATCTAATTTTTGGTCGATGACCATAATTCTATGGCCGGTGGTGTTTCCTCTTGGTCGGTGACCTGCCACAGTGATCATGGAGTGGTTCAGAAACATCCTGGAGACTTGTACAGTCCTCAGAGGTGTAGAGTAGTGTAAACAGAGGCAACATGTGACATGGTGGTGGGTTTCTAAGCGGAGCCTAGTGTGCATGCATTCGTCCCTCTTCCCGAGGCTGTTTTACTGCTTTCAGTAATTTAATTAATTAAGGGTCTGTAATATTTAATTAGCTTGTTAGTTAATTAATTTGTATTATTCATTCGGACCCTCTGCAAGAGAGCAATGTTGTAATAAGCGTGTGTACGTGTGATGTATGTCTTCCAACCCCACATCTTTCTCCCTTTTATTTACTAGCTTATGATGGTTAGTTTAGGGCATGTTTTAATTAGCATACTTATGTTCACATGTTTGCATTCATTCATCTGTTTTGCATGCACCAGGCTCGGCGCATCATACTAATTGCATAGCATTTCAATTCTGAGTTGAATACATGTTAAGTGTTGCATTTCACATGCCATCGTAGAATAGCAGAGCCTATTTTAGTTGCATTTTGTATGTGTTGCATTAGCCATCTTAACATGAACTAAGATCATGCATGATTACTAACTAGTTTCTTATTTTGGTTCGGAGTACACTGTGAGTATTTATGCTTTAGCATCTTGCATGTATGTGAGTTTTGCCATGATAGCATGCTTACCATGAGGCTATGTGCTTATGTGATATAATTGCCTGAATGCCCATGGGTGAAGGTTGAATTACTTGAATTAGAATAATTCATTGAAATCTGTGTTTTAGCCTACTTGCGAGTAGCAAATTTCAAATCATTTCCAAACAAAACGGATATGCGATGCTTTGTTCCAAATTAGGCGATTTAGTCTATACTTGTGTGTTGTGCGCATCACATAGTAATTCTAGCTAATTAATCAGAATAAGAACGCATGTGTTTTAAAAAACGAGATATCATGTTTAGTAGTGGCCGATTTTTGATCGGGCGAGCGGGGGTGCTCCTAGCTGACCTTCCACAATCGTACCCAAGTTCCCGAGCCGAGGCAACTTTGGTGATGACAGACATGTGGCCTTAGGCAACGAGTCAGGGTTTCCTAAATTTTCTAAAAATAAAACATTTAGGTGGCGACTCTGTATCTGACAAAGCAGTCCATGTTTGGCACTTCTTTCTAAAAATCTGTTTTTCAAAACGATTTGCCGGATTTGGACTCTTTGGTGATTTATCAATCTCACATCGCACATTGTGAGATCAGATTAAAAACTGTGACAATTTGAGTTCGAACTGTAGTGAGCCCAAATGAACAAAACGGGATTCCCTCCCGGAACGTTCGAGGACGTCTACAGCTAGTGACTCTAAAAATTCTACCAAAGTTCTACCAACTGTCTCATATGAGTGTGAGACTCACATTGTGTAGATCTCATACCCATGTAAGACATTTGGTAAAATTTTTAAGATTTCTAACATTACTCACAATTGAAAGAATTAGAAAAAAAATTATTCATAGTTGCCCATGTAATTGGTCTGAAAAGGGAAAAAAAAAAAATGTATGTCATAATTGCTATTGGGGTATTTTGAGAAAACCCAAAAAAGTCTTTATAATTGTGTAGATAGATAATTTGTATTTGAACTTGTTTTAAAAATAAAAACTATAATTTATCTATATTACTATAATATAAGAGGGCGTTTGAGTTGCTACAGTAGGGATGGCTCTATTTATCTTGTGCCATTTCTGTTCTTTCTGCTTGTTCACTAGAGTAGTGTACCATGTTGGATTATTTGGTAAATTGCTATTACATGTTGGACTCTTTCATAAATTGCTACCTTCAGTGAATACATTGTTTGTTTTTTATTTATTTTTAGGGAAATTTACCAATAAATCCCATTTCACAAACTATTAAACCAATTAGTCCCAACTTTATTCTTTTGTTCGGATAAGTCCTATCAGTGGGGAAGTTTATTTCTTGTTAATCCTATTTTTCATATTAAGTGTAACTGTGTGGACGATTTTACCCATTATTATTTTGTTTTCATATACTGTTGGTGCACCCTCACTTCACCATCACTTCACCATCTCCCACATTATAACTCTTCCTCCCTTCTGTCTGCAATCATCAACACTGAACATCATCGCCAAACTCTCTCTCTCTCTCCTCCTTTTCCTCTTCATCTTCTTAGGAGTCCCTCTCCTCTGTCCACCGCATCTCCTCTGACGACGGCACTCCTCAGTTCACTGCCTCCTCCTCACCTACTTCAAGATCCACCACCAGAACCATTGCCCCTCTCTCTCTCAGATCGTGAAACCCTAGGCGGCGATCCATCCATCGCACTATTAGGTCCTACTCCGTAACCGCCTCTGTTACTCCTCCTCCCTTGCCGTTGTCGGAGACGAGGATTGGCGATGGAGGAGATGAATCGAGATCGGAACACGAGGTTGTGATCGATTTACGCGCGGATTTGAAGGGAATTTTGAGATTGAATGCTTGTGTGTAGGGTTTTGAATAAGATTGCTTCGTAATGGTGGAGTTTGAGGATGAAGAAATGAAGAAATTGAGGGATACCGTTAATTTGTTTTTGGAGATTTTGTGGAATTTGCGGATTTTCGAAGATCGAGAAGCGTGTAATCGAGTGTATATAGGTCTGTGTGTATGTATATATATATCTATTGTGTGTGTGTGTCTGCTCCTCGTAACGTTTGTGTGTATCTGTGTGTGTGTGTGTATCTGTGTGTGTGTGTATCTCTGTGTGTGTGTGTGTATGTATCTGTGTGTGTGAATCTGTGTGTGTGTATCTCTGTGTGTGTGTGTATGTATCTGTGTGTGTGTGTATCTGTGTGTGTGTATCTGTGTATTTGTGAGCAACGGTTAGATGAGGGTAATTAAGTCCCTCACAATTAAATGGGACTGTTGGATTATTTGGTAAATTGCTATTACATGTTGGACTCTTTCATAAATTGCTACCTTCAGTGAATACATTGTTTGTTTTTTATTTATTTTTACCGTATTTATTCACTTTGTGTGAACAACAGTCGTTCACATATTTATTTTCTATTCGCTTTATGTGAACAACAGTCCACATATTTTATTTTCTATTCGTTTGAAATGTGAGGTATCTTTTTAATTTTTTTGATTATTTTCGTTTGAGGTTAGAAGTTTCGTTTGAAATAAATTTTTTTGATAATAAAATAATTATAATTTAAATAATATTTTATGTTTATGTTATTAATTTTTTAATTAATTTTATTTATTTTTAATTAAAAAAAAAAGTCCATATGGAAAACACCGACGGCCTCCTGGGGAAGCCATTATCTTGATAATTAGTATTCTTCTGTTGTTGCTCTTGAGAAAATTTTCACGGCTTGCAAAGTTCTCTCTCACGGTTCCATAATCAAACAATCACTGACTCTGTTTCTCTCTGTTCCTCACGCTTCTCTCATCTCTTAGTCGCATCTCTTTCTCTCTGGACGATATCCATGAGAAACCATATCGGAGATCCCTATCGGAGATGGCTCGCGCGAAGTGAAGTGAAAGGCTTTGAAGGGGAAGCAACAGGTTGGTTTAATTCTGAGGTTTGTTTTCATTTTCTTGCCTTATTCTTGCTGAATGTTTGGTTTTGCGTTGTTTTTGATTTTGTCTATGAACATGTGTCCTGTTATTCACGCCAACGACACCCATTTTCTCTTTTATTCAGCTTCTTTATGTAATTTGACTTCTTGTTGTAAGAATGGCTGCTTTATTTTGGGGGTTTTTCCATTTTTTTTTTTTATTCTTTTGCATTCGCACATTTTTCGTGGGACAAGGATTTGCGGGTTTCGCTGAGTTTCTCTTTTCCATTCTCACTTATTGGACAAGCTCTTGCTGCTTTTCCTTATTGCACTTTTTTGCTGGTTTATCTTTTTGTTTCATTGCTTTATTAATCATGAGTGAGGTTCAACTGTTTTTTTTTTTTTTTGAATAAATAAAAAAAAAATGGCGCGTTTCTATCTTATTTACATTTTGTTATTCAAATTAATTATTGTGATATAATCATATCCCCCTTCTACATTATAGATTACTGCTTCTATTTATATATGCATGTGTATGTATGTATTTGTTACTGAAATTATTGGGATTCCATAATTTCTCCAACATGCAATGGTACTATTCTTATTCATTGATTTTCTTTGGGGTTTTCTACTTTAACCAGGTACCTTTAGGCAAGAAATTAAGTTGCTGACTGTTAAATGAATTATTGTGGAAGAAAAAATTGTCTACAAAAAGAACCAAGAAATAGAAAAGGCAGTGAGCGAGTTTAGGAAAGCCATAAAAGAATTGGCAAAAGTGATGATTTTATTTATTGGTCTACTTTTGTGATGAGGTAATCAAAATGAATAGGAAAGTTGTGATCTTCATGATAAATAACTCTTTTAGAAGGGCCAGGTTATATTCTTTCTTCTTCTTTTGTTTTTTGTTAATTATTTTTATTGATGGGGAGGTTAGTACCTATTGTTGCGTATTAACTTTTTTGCATGTTCTTTGTGTCCTCTAAATTACTTATTTTTTAAAACCTTTTCCTATACTTGCAAATTCTCAATTTTGCTTCTCATGACTTTTTAAATTTTTAATTTTTTTTCGTTGTTCGTGGTTAATCAAAGACTCACAACTTTGGTATGAATTATGGCATTTCTTGCACAGTCTGGTTTTTTTACTCGCTTTCTTTTGAGGCATTTATTTTTAAAGTTGAGGCATTTACGTTTTCAGAGATCACTCTCTGTAGTGTTTACTTTTTGCCTTCCTAATAAATATGTGATTGTGGTTTAAATTGAGCACATTTACATTGCCAGAAACATGGTGGTACTTCTTTTCTATGGTTGATGTGTCACATTGTGATAGACACTTTGATCAACTTAATGTGTGGCATTCAGACACTACTATTACTGGCAAATGCTCCACGGTCGTATAATATTCAGCCAAACAGGTAAATTATTTCCCTATTTCTCTCTACTGCTTTTCTTTTCTGATTCTCTTCTAGCTTTTTTCTTAATAAACAACATAATTATTATTATGTGCGAGTGCGCGTGCATGCTCATAACACTCAAAGGTGAATAAACTAATTGCAGATGATGTGGTTGATAGGGAGGTTATCCAATATATTTTGGGTGGAAAGACACTGTTATCCTGTATATTTCTTCTTTTGTGGTCATAGGTTGGTACAGGTGAATCTGCAGCAAACATTTTATGTTCTAATCATTGGGATATTTTGTCATGAGTGATTGGATTCAAATTTGTTGTTGGTTAGCATTGCAGAGTTATTTGATTTTCGGGATTTGATCTATTCATCATGTATAAAATTATTTTCTATTTCATTGTTTTTGTTTTGTTTTTCAAAAGCTTCTAGATCACAGAAAGGGATTTTTTTTTTTTTGAAAAATAAAATAAAATATATTGCTTGCCCTTACATATTAGACAATTGTTGTGATGAATTATGTATTCTTGATATAGTACCTTTAGGTCTTAGACTTTATAATATTTGATTTGCTTTTTTTTTTTTATATATATATAAAAAAAATTGTAGTTGCATATTCATTAATTTAACATGTACTCATTGAAATTTTACTTGTGAAAATAAATAGTGTTTCAAATATAGTAAAACAAGGATCCTTTGTGGGGGAAGCACTCATTGGGGTTCATTCAATTTTGTGGACCATAATGAAAAACCTGTAACAACTAGAGATTTTTTGCCAAAATGGATTGTTTTATTTTGGTTTCAATCACTGCTCTCATATCTACCCAGACAAGATATAAAAGCTTGTTGCTGTAGTTGACATCTTACTCGCGCACACTAACAAAAATTTTAATTAAACTGTGGTGTTCTTTGCAAGTAATTGGGAAACAAACACACAGTTTATTGCTTACACTAGCTCATGTTTATTAGCTGGAAAAATTCTCTGAAAAATATCAAAACTTGTTTGTTAGATTTTGGGATGTGTATCTCTACTGATTGAGTTTTCCTAACCAAATAAATAAACTAAATTGTTTGTTTCATTATTCATGTTCCATTTCATTTATCAACAAAACATTCAAAATACTAACATACGGAATTTTGGGTTTAAAACTTGCAAATTCTGACTCTTTGATTTATGTAACCCAAAAATCAGGAGAAATTTATGAAAACATGATTGCCATTTTCTTATTTTCTATGCTTGGAAGGAAGAAAAAAAAAAATTTGAAAGTGTACCAATATTCATCAATGGATTGAAGAGGACACTATTCAGCAAGTTTGTGAATATGTTGAAGGTTCTTTTAAGATTGGATTGCATACTTAATATGCATTATTTATAAATTCTTGCAAATAATGATACTTTTATGATAAGTTGTTCAAGTACATGACTAACTGGTAATAGGAAAAAATGCTTCTTATGATATTATGATCAATCTATTATTTTAGTAGATAGAGCAGTATGTTCCCATTTAAATGGTTCCCTTTCCCTATGGCATGGAATCCATATTATTGCAGATGCTTTGGATATGACAATCAAGAAATTCAGTGATCCAAGTGAAAAAAATCTATTTTGCTTGAGGGCAACATAAGTCAACTTACAAAACTCACATTTCTGGTTAGTGTATGTATTTGAATATTGCCTCTGCAAGAATTTTCTCTATAATCTTTACAGTAGGTGTAAGGATTCAAAGAGCAAAGTGGCGAAAACGAGAATGCTGTATAAATGGTGCAAGTGAAGATGCAAAATTATCAAATATTTTTTGTGTGATTGAATATTTTGGTTGTGCCTTTTTAAAAGAGAAGCAGCCCATTAATAGAATACCACTCTTCAATGTCTTGTTTTTGGAGTCTTTAGTCTTGCTATAGCTCTTCCAATAAGTGTATCAAATACATTTTTGACAAATTATATTTTGATGGTTGGTTTGCATCTCTCTGCCTAAAAAAATATTCTAGACCTAAAATTAGTGAAAGCATATATGTCAATCAATGCTTGATGTTTCTTTTCATAGAAGAGAAGAACTAAGGCATAAAGCAGGATCTTCCCCTCATTAGCCTTTTCTTCTTTCTCTTTTATTTTTTGTTGCTTGTGGAATTGATTATACAATTATCATGTGGTCTTGTTCATTTTTGGGTAAAAGAATTGCTCCTGTTTTTTATATGGATCTTTTTCCTAGATTTTTTAATGTTCCTTTTTATTTTCCATTTTTTTGGGTAGAATTTCTTGGAGCTTAATGTTTATTTTCTCTTTCTGATTTTCAGGAGTCGATCGCCATATTAAAACCATGACTAGAATTGCAAAGAATCTTCTTTTCTAAAAGGTAAAACTTTCTTTCTTGTCAATTCTTTCTTTTAATTTTTATTTGCTTTTAATGTTTTGGTTCTTAAACTTTGAATTTACGTATTAGTTCAGAATTTGAATTGACTCTCGGTTTGCTTTCTAAAAGGAATTTGAGGTTGTTGAATCTTGACCATTGTTCAATTTATTATATGAGTGCTTTGATGTTGTGTAGTCCATATTCATTGGCGCTTGAAAATCCTGTTAATAAATCAGATAATTCAATGCTTCCCTTTGCCTTTCTCCCTAACTTCTGTTTTTTTCTTTCCCTGTAAGAATATAGAAAATGGAAGTTTAAATCATGATTAGTTTAAAAAAAAAAAAAAGATTCTTCATAAACTTGCTGCAATTTACAAAATTATAAAAAATTCATGAAAATGCACTAATGTTTTTGTGTCCTCAATCATCACGAGACTTGCTACCATCACATGAACACTTTAGAAATGCCTTGGATATGAAAAGGAGGGATCTAAAGAGAGTAGCTCGACATTTTAGAATCTCAAAAGAATTCCAACTCTACAGTGGTATAAGAACAAATTTCTTAGGTAAATATGATAAAGATGGAAAGATAGTCAGTACCTAAGAAACAAATTTTGTGGTGGAATAATAAGAGGCAAAACAGTTATCTTCATCTCATAGTTTACCAGGATTGTTCACATGACCTTTGACCATTTTTCAATTGATACTCTTGCTTGGAATATATTTATGAGATGCTAATTCAGAACATTTTTTTACTTTCAAAATATTTTCTGTTAGTTTTACCTTGTGCATGGTGGTTGGTTTATTCATGTATCATGTGACTATTAATCTTTGTTGGAAAATTTGGAAAGTTGCCATTATTTTGCTCTTTGTTTTAACGAGTAGCTTCTGATTATACTATTTTCTTTATTTATTTCTAATACCTTAATAAAGTAAAATCCACTAAAAGCTAGGTATTCTTTATTTTGTTTTGTACTATGTTACTTCAACATGATAATTAACTTTCTTCTACTTAAAAAAAGAAGAAAAACTACCGGCATGATTGAAACCAATAATGGGGTGGATATTCTTAATCTTTCTACGGACATCAATTTCTTCCACTTACTTAGAGAGTAGGGCTTACCTCATACTACATTTGATTTCATGTTAAAATTTGCTTGAACCACGGGCATGGGTGATTGTGCAAAGCACGATGCCTTGCAACTAGTAATTGATAATGTTTCAATGTAATAGTTCAACTTTATAAGCCAACACCAAAATCATAGTGCTTTAATAAACAAGTCTCTAAAAATGTAATATAAATATTCTCAATGAACTTTCAAAAAAAAAAAAAAAAAGGAAAAGGAAAGAAAAGAAGTCAACAAATGTCCAAGCAACCCCATCATGTAGACATTTTCAACTTCTACCATTTGTGTCCTCTTCTGGATTGTTAGCCTATGATTGTGCTATGTCATTCAACATTTTTGTGAAACTTGAATGTTTGAACATCGAAGATGGAGATGGATGATGATGCTCCTATCAAAAAAATAAAATATATTAAATTTTCATACAACCATGTAAACAAATACACGCTGGACTATTACGTAAGTTGGACCAATAATTCAAATTACTGCAATGTAAGAAGCAATTAGACAATCCAACTACAAATAAATCATATAATTATAAAATTAATGAATAAAATAAACTTCTTACATTCAATTGAATACTCTCTTCTGTTCCAAGATCAAATCCTATATTTGAAGGTGCACCAAACTTGGATTGCTGCAAAATTTAAAATTTGAAAGTTAACAAAATAATAGCTTCTTTTTTTGTTTGTTTTCTTTTTAATAGTAAATTAACTTATTCAAATAATTTTCACATCTTTATACTTCCTTTGATGTTGATAGTCTTTGTCTTGGTCTTTGCTACTTTCTTTTTCTTAACAACTTTTTCAATCATAGGCTATTTCCTTTTACACGGTGGTCTCCCCTTTTGACGTAAAACAACTGGATCAAGTATGGTTCTAATCTCCTTTTGACTTTGAAACACCATCTCCATAAGTAGTTGAATTATGATGATTACTCACAAAACTAGATTTATTATTTCCACAATCAATTTCAACTTCTTCTTTGAATTTTCCTATTAGTTCAAGTAGTTGTTCGACCACCATATCACACATATTTTCACAATCAGTTGCCAAATCAGCCACATCATTGAAGACATTGAACATTTTATTATACTGACATGTTTCAGGCAACATTGAAGGTTGTTATAATTGATAATCACTTTACTATGGCACCTTTTCACATTTTTGTTCCATCTTCTTAAAATGTACTTGTCTGATATCTCATGGATCTTTTCTTTCATTAACACCACAATTTGATGCCTACACACTATTCCCCTAAACTCGAACAATCGACAACTACAATTTGTGTCAAAGTTATTCTTATCAAAATACATAGTGAAATGTGCTAATCGAAGGTTCTCTCCAAATGGAACATCTTTACTTACTTCATATAGAAAAATTGGGACCTTGTGTATACAAAGTCAAATTGCAATGAAGGTGCCCTACAACCTCTTGTTGGAACTCTTTAAATTTTGCAATAGTGTAAGCTTTTTGAAATTGCTTCTCAAATGGAGAATTAAATTCTTCTCCATTTTCATTTTCCACCTTCTTCGCCAAAGCATTCTCATATTGCTCCACAAATTGTTTCAAAGTGGTTTTTGAGTTGATGCACTCATCAAAGAATGCGTGCATGCTTTCACTTCGTTGTGTGGTTGACATTCTTGCCCAAAAAATGTCTTTGACAAATGTAGGTACCCATTGATGCCTATCCTCAAACAATCCAAATAACAATTCATTGCTTTCAAGTTGATAGTTCTCAATGAACTCATTCCAATTTTCTTCAAATTCCTTTTTTGTCAAGGAATCATAAATTGCATTTTGTATACCAAATTTTATTGCCTCATATTCTTTGTATCCTTTCACTTTTTGAGGTAATTTTTTTCAAGATATGCCACAAAACCATCAATGACGCACATTAGGGAAAACAATTTGTGTAACATTTTTCATGGCTTTGTCTTGATCTGTAATAATAGCATTTGGAGGACATCCAGACATGCATGCAAGCCAAGACTTAAATAACCATGTAAATGTCGCTGTGTTTTCACGTGAAATGAGTCCACAACCTAACAATGTTGATTGTCTATGATAGTTGACCCCAATAAATGGGGCAAAGGGTATATCATACTTATTTACCAAGTATATCGTGTCAAATGTAACCACATCGCCAAACTCTTTAGATGCAACCCTACTCCTTGGATTAAATGCAGCCTTATTTTGGATCAACCTAAAATACATTTAGTAATCGACACTCTTCATCCAAATCCAGGACAAAAAAAAAAATTCTGAATTATCAACTTGCATTTTCACAAAATAATTATGCATTGCAGTGGCATCTCCTTTCTCAAGTTTCAAAAGACCAACTTCGTCTATATGATTCCTACAATCTTTCTCTAAATATGACAACTTCTCATGTCCTCCAGCTTCAAGCACAAGTGAAATAAAATTTTTGTTCATCCTAATCCCTGCACTATCAGTTAATTTAAGTCTTCTTTTCACATGTGGTTCAAGAATCCTATTTTGCTTGAAAAAATGAGATTTGCTTGGACTCATTTCATGGTTATGCTCAAGTCTTAAGGATCATAGTATCCACATTCCATCGGCTTGTAAATTTACATTAAGTTCAGCTTTGCATCTCGTTTTAGTTTGTGGGCGTAGTTTAACTATATTGCTTGTTTTGATTTTTGCTTGTAAATGTCATTCCCACTTTAGGACCCTCAATTTCAACTTCTACATTTTTTGTTTCTTCTATTTTAGTCTTAGGCCTAGTTTGGGAAGACTAAATAAGTGCACTTTTTGACTTTTTATGAAATATGGATTGGGCTTGGGTTGGGTTTGAAGTGATGTATTAGAGAGGTGATGTGACTTAAATAAGATGATGTGACTTAAATAGGATAGTGACTTTTTGACTTTTTGTCTTTTTTCAATCTTCCCAAACTAGGCCTTAGTATCAATTTTGTTACAGTTCTCATTTGATCCACTCGATATTTCTTTATCCATACCTCTACAACGTAAATAACAAATTAGAAAATTTTTATTCATAACAAAGGCCACAAAAACCCTAATTAAGTAGAAAATTAAATTATTTTATTAACTTTCTACTGAAAATTTGTGAAAATTCAAGCAGAAATTTCAGCGACAAAAAATTCAAGAAGAAATTTTAGCAATAAATTCAACTAGTGTTATAACAATTTTGCACACCATGAATTTATAAAAACAAATATTGACTACATTTCATCACTTGTTTGTTTTTGGTGTTGGCCTTTCTCATGATGTGCATGTGAATCAAATTGACAAATTTTAGCAAACAAATGATTCTTGAAATGAAAAATTTGTAGCTGAAACAACCCATTTCATTGAATAGAATAGCACAAATTAAAAAAGAAAAGAAAAAAAGTCAATGCATGACAATAGTGCAAAACTGTGGTCTCTTTTCAGGTGTAAGTTATAAAAACTGATGTAAAAAACAAGGAAAAAGTTAGAGATCATGAAAATTTTGTCATGAAAATGATCATGAAAAATTTATGATCCTTGGATTATCTTGATTAGTGTGTGGTGTTTCATTTTAAATGTAATCCAAGGGTCACGAAACTTTCATGATTATTTTCATGAAAGGTTTTTCATGATACCTAGCATTGCTGAAAAAACAATGTTAGTTTAAAACACGGAAGTGTTTCAAATCTTTAGAAACAGAAGGGCAAAATGAACAGAAAACAGGAAGGGGAAAAAAAAAAAAAAAAATTGTCATACAGTTGTTTCTAAACATTTAAAGCAGAGATGTTATCAATGATACAGATATTTAGCACTCCAATATATACATCTCTATTATTAAATTTTTGTTCCCCCATAATTCAAATTTACAAAATAATTACATTATCTACATTAAGTGTATTCATTCCTTTCTTTTTACCTGGATGTGATTGTTGAAATTGTGAACTACATCTATACTCCAAACAAACAATACTTTTATTCATTGAGTTAGCTTTCAGACAAATAGTTAAAAATTCAACAATTTTTTTCTTTCATTAACTTAGCCTTCAAACAAATACCCAAAAAATACAAATGAAAGAGAACTACATCAACACTCAACAATTCATGATTGATTCATAATAAAATCCCCAAATTTTCAAAGTTCTAGGGTTTGATATAAAAAAAAAACCTCCAAATATGCACAAAGAAGTTAAAAATCAAGTATAGGAAACAACCAAGAATCATATTTTCATACATTTATAATCGGAGAGGGTGTTCTTGCCAGAACTCGAAGTAGAAATCACGATAAAAAAAACTCAGATTTTCTTGGAATACGTATGAAAGCGGTGGCGTATAAATTGTTGACCGCCTGGACCGCTGGAAACGTGAGACAAAGAGAAGTTTTTTTTTTAGAGATTGCCGTTGCCGCTAATGTGACTGTCATGTTGTTGAAGAAACATAGAACCGCAATACTTTCTCTCTCTAGGTAAAATATATTATTTTCTTTTTTTTTTCTTTTTTTTAAATAATATATTGGAGGTCCACCAAGATGAGTTGGCCAGTGCCAACTCATTCATTAAGCCTTTCCTAACAGATTATTCCTGACCCCTAGCATTATTGTAATAAAATATTATATATGAATTAAATGATGAAAAATCTTTATGAAGCATTATATAATATTTTTTTCATAATTCTTAACATTACTCGTAAATGATTCAATCCGGATTAGAGAGATCTAGTTTAACTAATTATGGGTTTGTTTAGATAATTTAAATTATTTATTTTGTGAGATTTGTGAAGCATATTATTAATATAAAATATTAAGTTAATCGGATCACATATATTTGAAAAAAAATATAGATAGATTGTATGATTTTCAATATGGGTTTGGCTTTTCTTAAATTTCTCATAAGTTCATATTTGAGAAAACTGTTCAAGCTTGTAGGACCCAACATGACTCCATTTCGATGATCCAATTTGCTTATTTTGTAGGGCTCCTAGTGTATATCATCTATGAAAAAAATTAGGTCCATTCAATAATCGTAGACTTTTTATTTTGTCGTGTTTTATCTCTAAAAATTTAGATGGATGATTTTCAAAAATACACGTTGTTTATTTTTTTGGAGTTAAACTTTATAAAATGAAAAATTTATGATTGTTGAGTTGACGTAATTTTTTTTTACTGATGATATACACGAAACACATCACAAAATGAACCGTTTGAATCATTAAAATAAGACTCGTTGTTGGCTCCTTAGGCCCAAACAACCTGAGAGAAGCCCATGTCATTGAAAATAGTCTTTTTATTTTTATTTTTATTTTTCTAAATAAATATAATTTGATTAAATAATTATCGATATTCGATTATGATTTTTAATATAAATAATTTGTTCAATCATAAGATAAAAAATTCGGTTCATTGAAACAGACTTAAAGTGGGCTACATTAGACCTTTCAAACTGGAGAGGAATTGTACTCAGCAATTACGTCTTTGGTGTTGTCTCATTTATAAATAAAAAATAGATTTTATCTGGATTTCCCGCAAATTTTTTTCCCTTATTCTTACGACATGAAATCTTGATTATCAATGTTAATCAAGACTTTCTGATTGTTTGGCAAAATAAAATAAAAACTGTGAAAATTTTAATTAGATATAAAATAGGTTCTTGTTGCATGTTTTATGGCAATAATAATAATAATTAATGGTTGCCATGAATGAGCTCAAATGCTAGTTCGGATCCTTTGTATCAGGATGGTGAAGGTATTGATTAAAACAAATGTGTCATGTCCCAATATAATTTATGTGAATTTTTTCATTATTTATATTATTTAAAAAAATAATTAAATAGAAATATTATTTAACATATATGAGCCGTACTTATTTAAGTTTGAGTTCAGCTCCTTTATTAATGAACTGAGCAGAACCAAGCCGAGACTCAATCAGGATATCAGATCGATACCGCTCCCCTACTAGCTTCTCCTGAAATTCAGTTTTTCGCAAACACCAATAGCCATAGTGCCCCCCTGCTAGCTTTTGCTGAAATTCTCAACGTTTTTCATTCAGGCTGTTGGTGATCAGAATGATGTGAGAATTTGATAGTGGAGAATTTATTATTTATTTTTTGAAAAAAAAACTTTACTTCTGGTTTATTTCGCAGTTTGCCTTGTACATTAATCATGAGCTGTAATTTTTTTTTATACGTTTATCTCATCATTGAGAAGTGTTACAATTTGATGTAGGACAAGATTTTCATGACAAGATTTTAAGAATTTTTATATTTTTAGTTTTAATATTTTTGATGTATTATTAGGATTCTTGTAATTTAGTATAAATATTTTAGAATTAACTCGGATTGCTGCAAAATATAAAATTTGAAAGTTAACAAAATAATAGTTTTTTTTTTAATAGTAAATTAACTCATTCAAATAATTTTCACACCTCTACACTTCCTCGGATGTTGATGGTCTTTTTCTTGGTATTTGCTCCTTTCTTCTTCTTGTTAACAACTTTTTCAACCATGGATTGTTTCCTTTTACATGGTGGCCTCCCCTTTTGACGTAAACCGACTGGATCAAGTATGATTCTACTCTCCTTTGACTTCGAAACACCATCTCCATGAGTGGTTGAATTATGATGATTACTCACAAAACTAGACTTATTATTTCCATAATCAATTTCAACTTCTTCTTTCAATTTCCCTTTTAGTTCAAGTAACTGTTCGACCACCATATCACACATATTTTCACAATCAGTTGCCAAATCAGCCACATCATTGAAGACATTGAACATTTTATTATACTGACATGTTTCAGGCAACATTGAAGGTTGTTATAATTGATAATCACTTTACTATGGCACCTTTTCACATTTTTGTTCCATCTTCTTAAAATGTACTTGTCTGATATCTCATGGATCTTTTCTTTCATTAACACCACAATTTGATGCCTACACACTATTCCCCTAAACTCGAACAATCGACAACTACAATTTGTGTCAAAGTTATTCTTATCAAAATACATAGTGAAATGTGCTAATCGAAGGTTCTCTCCAAATGGAACATCTTTACTTACTTCATATAGAAAAATTGGGACCTTGTGTATACAAAGTCAAATTGCAATGAAGGTGCCCTACAACCTCTTGTTGGAACTCTTTAAATTTTGCAATAGTGTAAGCTTTTTGAAATTGCTTCTCAAATGGAGAATTAAATTCTTCTCCATTTTCATTTTCCACCTTCTTCGCCAAAGCATTCTCATATTGCTCCACAAATTGTTTCAAAGTGGTTTTTGAGTTGATGCACTCATCAAAGAATGCGTGCATGCTTTCACTTCGTTGTGTGGTTGACATTCTTGCCCAAAAAATGTCTTTGACAAATGTAGGTACCCATTGATGCCTATCCTCAAACAATCCAAATAACAATTCATTGCTTTCAAGTTGATAGTTCTCAATGAACTCATTCCAATTTTCTTCAAATTCCTTTTTTGTCAAGGAATCATAAATTGCATTTTGTATACCAAATTTTATTGCCTCATATTCTTTGTATCCTTTCACTTTTTGAGGTAATTTTTTTCAAGATATGCCACAAAACCATCAATGACGCACATTAGGGAAAACAATTTGTGTAACATTTTTCATGGCTTTGTCTTGATCTGTAATAATAGCATTTGGAGGACATCCAGACATGCATGCAAGCCAAGACTTAAATAACCATGTAAATGTCGCTGTGTTTTCACGTGAAATGAGTCCACAACCTAACAATGTTGATTGTCTATGATAGTTGACCCCAATAAATGGGGCAAAGGGTATATCATACTTATTTACCAAGTATATCGTGTCAAATGTAACCACATCGCCAAACTCTTTAAATGCAGCCCTGCTCCTTGGATTAAATGCAGCCCTATTTTGGATCAACCTAAAATATATTTAGTAATCGGCACTCTTCATCCAAATCCAGGACAAAAAAAAAAAAAATTCTAAATTATCAGCTTGCATTTTCACAAAATAATTATGCATTGCAGTGGCATCTCCTTTCTCAAGTTTCAAACGAATTATGCATTGCAGTGGCATCTCCTTTCTCAAGTTTCAAACGACCAACTTCGTCTATATGATTCCTACAATCTTTCTCTAAATATGACAACTTCTCATGTCCTCCAGCTTCAAGCACAAGTGAAATAAAATTTTTGTTCATCCTAATCCCTGCACTATCAGTTAATTCAAGTCTTCTTTTCACATGTGGCTCAAGAATCCTATTTTGCTTGAAAAAATGAGATTTGCTTGGACTCATTTCATGGTTATGCTCAAGTCTTAAGGATCGTAGTATCCACATTCCATCGGCTTGTAAATTTGCATTAAGTTCAGCTTTGCATCTCGTTTTAGTTTGTGGGCGTAGTTTAACTATATTGCTTGTTTTGATTTTTGCCTTTTCAGCACGAGTACAAGCAATAGTTATATATATTTCTCCCCATCATCTCCTCTTTTACAATATTTCTTAGACACCGCAAAACCATTTCTCTTCCCGTATCTTAAATAATATTCATAAATTTCATCACTTGACTTAAATGTCATTCCCACTTTAGGACCCTCAATTTCAACTTCTACATTTTTTGTTTCTTCTATTTTAGTCTTAGTATCAATTTTGTCACAGTTTTCATTTGATCCACTCGATATTTCTTTATCCATACCTCTACAATGTAAATAACAAATTAGAAAATTTTTATTCATAACAAAGGTCACAAAAACCCTAATTAAGTAGAAAATTAAATTATTTTATTAACTTTCTACTGAAAATTTGTAAAAATTTGTAAAAATTCAAGCAGAAATTTCAGCGACAAAAAATTCAAGAAGAAATTTTAGCAATAAATTCAACTAGTGTTATAACAATTTTGCACACCATGAATTTGTAACTTTTATAAATTCAAACAAATATTGACTAAATTTCATCACTTGTTTGTTTTTGGTGTTGGCCTTTCTCATGATGTGCATGTGAATGAAATTGACAAATTTTAGCAAACAAATGATTCTTGAAATGAAAAATTTGTAGCTGAAACAACCCATTTCATTGAACAGAATTGCACAAATTAAAAAAGAAACGAAAAAAGTCAATGCATGACAGTAGTGCAAAACTGTGAAGTTATAAAAACTGATGTAAAAAACAATGTTAGTTCAAAACACGGAAGTGTTTCAAATCTTTAGAAACAGAAGGGTAAAATGAACAGAAAACAGGAAATACAATTGTTTCTAAACATTTAAAGCAGAGATGTTATCAATGATACAGATATTTAGCACTCCAATATATACATCTCTATTATTAAATTTTTGTTCCCCCATAATTCAAATTTACAAAATAATTACATTATCTACATTAAGTGTATTCATTCCTTTCTTTTTACCTGGATGTGATTGTTGAAATTGTGAACTACATCTATACTCCAAACAAACAATACTTTTATTCATTGAGTTAGCTTTCAGACAAATAGTTAAAAATTCAACAATTTTTTTCTTTCATTAACTTAGCCTTCAAACAAATACCCAAAAAATACAAATGAAAGAGAACTACATCAACACTCAACAATTCATGATTGATTCATAATAAAATCCCCAAATTTTCAAAGTTCTAGGGTTTGATATAAAAAAAAAAACCTCCAAATATGCACAAAGAAGTTAAAAATCAAGTATAGGATATTTTCATACATTTATAATCAGAGATGGTGTTCTTGCCCGAACTCGAAGTAGAAATCACGATAAAAAAAACTCAAATTTTCTTGGAATACGTATGGAAGCGGTGGCATATAAATTGTTGACCGCCTGGACCATTGGAAACGTAAGAGAAAGAGGAGTTTTTTTTTTAGAGATTGCCGTTGCTGCTAATGCGGCTGTCATGCTGTTGAAGAAACATAAAACCACAATACTTTCTCTCTCTAGGTAAAATATATTATTTCCTTTTTTTTTCTTTTTTTTTAAATAATATATTGGAGGTCCACCAAGATGAGTTGGCCAGTGCCAACTCATTCATGAAGCCTTTCCTCACAAATTATTCCTGACCCCTAGCATTATTGTAATAAAATATTATACATGAATTAAATAATAAAAAATCTTTATGAAGCATTATATAATACTTTTTTCATAATTCTTAACATTACTCGTAAATGATTCAATCCGGATTAGAGAGATCTAGTTTAACTTATTATGGGTTTGTTTAGATAATTTAAATTGTTTATTTTGTGAGATTTGTGAAGCATATTATTAATATAAAATATTAAGTTAATGGGATCACATATATTTGAAAAAAAATATAGATAGATTGTATGATTTTCAAAATGGGTTTGGCTTTTCTTAAATTTCTCACAAGTTCAGATTTGAGAAAATTGTTCAAGCTTGTAGGACCCAACATGACTCCATTTCGATGATCCAATTTGCTTATTTTGTAGGGCTCTCAGTGTGTATCATCAATGAAAAAAATTAGGTCCATTCAATAATCGTAGACTTTTTATTTTGTCGTGTTTATCTCTAAAAATTTAGATGGATGATTTTCAAAAATACACGTTAATTTTTTTGGAGTTAAAATTCATAAAATGAAAAACTTATGATTGTTGAGTTGACGAAATTTTTTTTTACTGAGGATGTACACGAAACACATCACAAAATGAACCGTTTGAATCATTAAAATAAGACTCATTGTCGGCTCCTTAGGCCCGAACAACCTGAGAGAAGCCCATGTCATTGAAAATAGTCTTTTTATTTTTATTTCTCTAAATAGATATAATTTGATTAAATAATTATCAATATTCGATCAATATAATTTTTAATATAAATAATTTGCTCGATCATAAGATAAAAAATTTGGTTCATTGAAACAGACTTAAAGTGGGCCACATTAGACCTTTCAAACTGGAGAGGAATTGTACTCAGCTATTATGTCTTTGGTGTTGTCTCATTTATAAATAAAAAATAGATTTTATCTGGATTTCCCGCAAATTTTTTTCCCTTATTCTTACGACATGAAATCTTGATTATCAATGTTAATCAAGACTTTCTGATTGTTTGGCAAAATAAAATAAAAACTGTGAAAATTTTAATTAGATATAAAATAGGTTCTTGTTGCATGTTTTATGGCAATAATAATAATAATTAATGGTTGCCATGAATGAGCTCAAATGCTAGTTCGGATCCTTTGTATCAGGATGGTGAAGGTATTGATTAAAACAAATGTGTCATGTCCCAATATAATTTATGTGAATTTTTTCATTATTTATATTATTTAAAAAAATAATTAAATAGAAATATTATTTAACATATATGAGCCGTACTTATTTAAGTTTGAGTTCAGCTCCTTTATTAATGAACTGAGCAGAACCAAGCCGAGACTCAATCAGGATATCAGATCGATACCGCTCCCCTACTAGCTTCTCCTGAAATTCAGTTTTTCGCAAACACCAATAGCCATAGTGCCCCCCTGCTAGCTTTTGCTGAAATTCTCAACGTTTTTCATTCAGGCTGTTGGTGATCAGAATGATGTGAGAATTTGATAGTGGAGAATTTATTATTTATTTTTTGAAAAAAAAACTTTACTTCTGGTTTATTTCGCAGTTTGCCTTGTACATTAATCATGAGCTGTAATTTTTTTTTATACGTTTATCTCATCATTGAGAAGTGTTACAATTTGATGTAGGACAAGATTTTCATGACAAGATTTTAAGAATTTTTATATTTTTAGTTTTAATATTTTTGATGTATTATTAGGATTCTTGTAATTTAGTATAAATATTTTAGAATTATTAGGTTTCTTAATTTTATTATTTTAGAATTAGATTCTGACTAGGATTTTAAATAGTTTAGAATTTTAGTCTCTTAGGTTTCCTAGTTCTCTTAGATTTCTTAATTTATGTTGATTTAAGTTTCCTAATTTATTTTAGAATTAGATTTAGTTTATTATAAATAGCTATGTAAGTCTCATGGCAAAGACAACTTTTATACAACTTTTATGAGAAATGTCTCGTAGCTCAAATTTTGTGGCTCAAAAGTGGCTCAAATGGCCAAAACGACGTCGTTTTGGCCATTTTTATCTTGTTCTGTACTCAAAACGACGTCGTTTTGGCCATTTGAGCCACTTTTGAGCCACAAAATTTGAGCTACGTAGCATTGTCGAACTTTTATTCATTCATTCAATAATATTTTTTAAGAGCTTTTCTTCTGTCTTCCTTGTGGATTCAAGGGTATTCTTGTAGATTCAAGAATTCTCGTCTACTAGAACAATATCTAGTCCCGTGTGATTTATTCTGCTGCGTCAAGTGGTATCAAAGCATGGATTTGCCTAGCTCAATTACACAAGACAATGGAGCACACACAATCCCTATTGACGTTGATCGTAGGTTGGAAGCCATATGGTATGCGATTGAGGAACATCGGCTAGAGGTGCACGAACTTCGCAATGAGATTTGTAATCTACTTGCCGATTTAGGACTAATCGTCAACCAGAGGCAACCAACAGTTGACAGCAATTGTGTCAGAGGATTCACTCGAGGCCAACCTATTAGTGTACGTTATTTTGCAGAAATTTCATATTTTAACGATTCAAGTAAGTTTCAAAAAGAAAATTTTCTTGATTGGTTGCTTGATCTTGAAAATTTATTTGAATTCATGAAGATTCCTGATGAAAAGAAGGTTATATTTGCATCCTACAAACTTGATAAAATTGCATTGAAGTGGTGGAATGGATTACAAGATTATCGAGTTTGCAAAGGTAAAGACAAAATTCATTCATGGTTAACAATGAAAAAGTTTTTGGCAACAAAATTTTACTTTCATGATCATGAAGATATATTGTC